GATTCAGGATGAAGAACCGGTCCCGGAGAAGGGGTCGAGACTTTTGGGGGTCGACGTTGTGAAAAAATCACGGCGTCGGGTGTTTGGGAGCAGGGGATCGACTACAGAGTCGATCTACCCCAGAAGTGGTCTCTTCATGAGAAATCCGCCAGACGGTGCGCAGACATGGTCGTACATCTACGAACATTCTCCGCAGGTTCTGTCGATCCGACGACGATTTCCAATGCGGGGTAGAGCAATTCTGCAGTCGATCTCCTCCTCGAGGCCTCGAGTCTATGGGCCTCCTAGATGGAGTCCGAGTCGATGGGGTCGGAGGATCTCGCCGCATCGCCGATGCGTCGGCGATGCGGCTCGATGTGGAGCCCGATGTTCTCCACGCCGACGCCTAGATGGAGTCCGAGTCGATGGGGTCGGAGGATCTCGCCGCATCGCCGATGCGTCGGCGATGCGGCTCGATGTGGAGCCCGATGTTCTCCACGCCGACGTCGCCGGTGCGCATCGCCGACGTCGACGATGCCTCGCCGATGCATCGCCGATGGGCCGCTCCTCGCCTCGAGGATGCGCTGCCCGGCCGCGGCGGCCGCGCCGCCGCCGCCGCCGCCGGGCGCGGCCCCGCCGCGCCGCGCCCGGAAGCGCCCGCGCGCGGGCGCGGCCGCGGCGGGGGCGCCCGCGCCCCGGCCGCCGGAGGACCCCAAGGCAGCGGGGCTGCGAAGCCTTCCTCGGCGGCGAGGGAGGGGGGAAGGGAGGAGGAGGAGGAGGAGGAGGAGGAGGCTGCAGGAGGATAACAGGTGGAGGAGGGCGATGTGCTCCTCGTCCAGGCTTCGTCTCAGCCCCGACCTCTGAGTCCCGACCTCCCGAAGGATGCTCGTCTGGCTCAGGTCCGACGGCAGCAGCCCTGTTTGCCCGTGGGTGGCCAGGGGCCCGTACATCGGCGGCGAGCGAGGGGGGGAAGTGAGTCGGGGGTGGACAGACCTCCTACCCTGACACGTCGATTAGTGAATTGGCCGTTTTCGGTTCGCGAGAGGGCGTCGCGGCCGTCATTTTTGCGGGTCCAGGTCCGTCGGTTTCGGTCCCAGGTCGTTTTCACTAAAGGGAGGTTTACTAAAGGGAGGTTTGTCCACCGCCGAGTGAGAAGGAAAAGGCCTTCTCAGAAGACTCGGAAGGCCCTCGGCCTTCTGAGACGTTTTCTAAGCCTTCCGTGGAGATACGAAAAATCTCAGAAGGCGCGAGGGCTTCTGAGAAGGCCTGCCGCCTTTGAGAAGGCCTTCTCCTTCTCATTTCCCCCTTCGGTCGCCGCCGACTTCAGACCCAGACCCCCTCGCGTTTTGAAATCACGACGGGAGGTTTTTCGTTATGATCGGCCTCCGGGGACCCTCGCCAGGTCCCAGGACCGTCAGAAAAACGGCTCAAGAGGAGAAACTGGTCCCTGGGAAAGGGTCGGGACTTGGGGGGCCGCGTCTGGAAAAGATCAGGACGCCGCATGTCTGGGTCCGAAGCTCTCAGAGGGGGAACTCTGCGGCGAGCGAGGGGAGGCACGTCGAGGTGCGAACTTCGAGGCTCGAGGTTCGAGGCGGCTTGCCATCGTTTTCGGCCTCGGGGCCATTTTCGGGCCCCGGGGCCCCATGTCGATCCGGGCTCCAAAGCCTTCTGAGGGGGAAATCGGCGGCGAGCGAGGGGAGGGGGGAAGTGAGAGGTTTTGGATTCGAGGTCTGAGGTTTCGGGACGTTTTCGTCGGTGCTCGGCGGCTTTCCAGCCTCGGGATGCGTTCCAGCAGCCCTCGCCGAAAGCGTTCCGGGGCTGCCTGGATCGCTCAGAATGGCTGCCGCGGACCCGAGGGATGACGCCCAAATCAAACTCGGCGGCGCGCCGAGGGGGGAAGCGAGAAGAGGGAGGCCTTCTCCGAAGGCCGCGGAGCTTCTCAGAAGCCCTCCGGCCTTCTGATAGGTTTTGTGTCTTCGGGGAGGTCTCAGGAAGCTTCTCAGAAGGCCCGAGGATTTCATCGTGAGATGATGTCGAGCAGTGGCGACGCGTCCTGGCTTGCTCATATCGGGGAAACGTAAGACTCGAGTCATCCAGAACTCGGGTTAGCCGACGTTTTTTGACGAGCGCGTCCTGGATTCTGACGGTCCAGTGTTCGTGGGATGTTTGCAGCGTGAGCCCGCGTCAGATTTCAGATTGGGTCTCGTCATTTCTATGGTGTCCCCCCTCGTCAGGCCAACCCGAGGCCCTTGTACCCGAGCCTCACGCCTCCCCAACGAATAGGCCCACCGCAGACAGTTCTAAGAGCCTTTTGGTGGCCCGCGCCCGGCCGCCGGGTCGATCGACCCCGAGGCACTGGGGGCTCTCTCATCGGCGACTGCGAAGGTTCAGAGCCCCGAATCATCAGGGGTAACTCGGGTCAGGGCTAACTCGGGTTCGTTTTTCGGGATTCCGAACCCGACTTACCCCGGACCCGACTTACCCCAGATAATTCGGGCGTCCAGAGTCCCAAATCATCAGGGGTATCTCGGGTCAGGGCTAACCCGGGTTGGTTTTTCGGGAATCCAAACCCGAATTACTCCGGACCCGAGTTACCCCAGATAATTCGGGCGCCCAAAAGGTGGTGGTGGCGTGCCCGGCTTTGGGGGCCAGTCTTAAGTCTGGCGTGACGTGCCCCTCTACAGGAGGCATATTCAGAAATAATCAAAACATGACGCTATAACGTTTGACTATGTTTGATTATGTTTTGACTATTCTTAGATCCTCGCCCCAAAATCCGCCTGTATGAGGACATGCCCGACCTAAGCCTGGGCCAATACCGCTCCCACGTTCTAGCCGCAAGCGTCTATGGGCACAGTGGGTTCCATTACATCTGTAGATGCTTTTTGGTTGGATGCGTCTACGCACACAACGCGGCCATTGCGTTCGCCGCAGCACAAGTTCGGAGAAAGGGTAGATCCGTCCGTCTACGGTATCTTCCTGCTCTAGAGCAGGTCCCACATGGTACTCCAGGCGGGGGTGTGGTTTGCGATCGGCTCCGTTAGGGCCCGAGGGACACGACGCTGTCTTCGTCGGGCCTCCTCGGAGCGCGGCGGAGAACTCTGTCGAGGTCCCCGCCCGCCCCCTGGGCTCCAGGGTGCGTCCCAGGGTGCCAGTTATAAACCACACCCTATACGATCCACACCCTTTAAAACCGCCGATCCAAATATTCAGAGGGGAATACCCAGGCACGCTCGCGTCGGGAGGAAATCCAGACGGGAGGTGTTTCGCAATGTTCGGCCTCTGCGGGCCCTGGCTGGGCCCCGAGGCTGCCAAAAAACGATTCAGGATGAACAGCCAGCTTCGGGGAAGGGGTCGGGACGTCCGGGGGCCGCGCATGGAAACGAACATCGGGACGTCGCCTGTCTGGGAAGGCACCTTCGGGCTGCCCAGGGGAGGAATCGTGCTCTGGTGTCCTCGGGCTGCCCAGGGCTGTTCTCGATGATGATGGCCTCGGTCCGACTGTAGATGGGGCCAGCAGGGGCCCAAAATGGGCCCTACCAAAGTGCCCTTTTCTCGCGCGATCGTCATCGGGGCGTCGTGAACTCTGCCTTCTGGAACTAACTACTACCCATCCCAGAGTTGCACTCTGACTCGGCATCAGTTTGCCGCGAACCACGATCTTGTCGACGGTTGGACCATCTGCAGGTCACCCCCCAGTACCACCCGCCCGAGCTGGGTCCGTGCTGACCCGTTTTTCGAAGTGTCAAACAGTGGCGAAGCGTCCTGGCTCGCCAATAAGCCCACCGAATAATGTTCCAAGAACCTTGTGTGGTCTGCACGACATGTTCTAAGAACAGTTCTGGCCGAGATTGTCTTGTTTTCACACACCGGGCTGATTTGCCAAGAACACGTTAGGGGTTCTAGGAACATGTCGTGGTAGGTCTCTAGGACTGCCGGGCTGCTGGTCGGCCCCTGCTCAAGCCATGCCGGCCCGTTCTTCGAAGTGGGCACCGCCGCGGCGACGGGCAGCACCCCACCCCCCCCGAAAGAGAAGTCTCCCCCCTAAAAAAGAAGGGCAGGGAGTGTGCCCAGGGGGGAGGAGGAGGAGGAGGAGGAGGAGGAGGAGGAGGAGGAGGAGGAGGAGGAGGAGGAGGAGGAGGAGGAGAGGAGGAGGAGGAGGAGGAGGAGGGGGGGCTGCCGCTGTCTCGACTCGACCCGGGGGCCTCCGGCGCAGGAGTCCCTCGCGCGGAAGTTCGCCAGGCACGTGGACGCCACCCTCGAGTGCGAGCGTCGGGGAGCAAAACTCGGCACAAGCACGCAGCATAGTCGGGCCGGACGAAAGGGGGTGGTTGGGAAAGCGGGGGTTACGAAATCTGCTACATGCAGCTGGTTTCGGCCTCACCGAGGGGCCCAGTCCTCGATACCTCCCGGCGCCGGGAGGCGCCGGGAAAATCAGCTACGGGAGCTGATTCTCAAACCCCCCCTTTGCTATCCCCCCCTTTCGCCCGACCCGACCATCGGTCGTTGAAAGTAGGTGTATTTTTGGACTCCCAGTTCCCACTGCTTTAGCCGCCTTCCTCCTGCAAGAGCCGAGCGGTTTTCCCGCCTCCCTCCTCTTCAGGAGGCGAGCAGAAGCCCCATCTACCTCCAACGCCTTCCTACCTACTTCATGGTTCTACCTACTTCTTCCGACCGATGGGTAAACTGTCGGAGCCCCGCTGGGATTTCTCGCACCTGCTCCGAACTCCCGCCTCCCGGGCACGCGGAGCGCGCCAGGGGCGTCGCCGGAGGCGCCGCCAGAGGGGTCCAGCGCCGGTCCAAGAAACCCGCGCGGAGCTCCGAAAGCAGGGCTCGAGCCGGACGGTGTGTTTGCGATTTCGTGGACCGTTCTCGGTTTGCTGTCGTTTCGGAGCAGCACAGAGCGAAGACAGACCGAAGGGAAACGACAACAAAACGAGAACGACAAACACTGTTTAGGTCCAGCCCTCTCCGAGAGCTTCTGCTCGTGCAGTGGTTTGCTCCCCCTGGAGCGGCTGAAGGCGCGCCAGGAGGCGCTGCAGGCCTTCGAGGCCGGCCTCCGGGAGTCGCTGAGGGCCAAGGTGGAGGAGCCCGGGCGGCGCGCAGAGGGTGCTGGGGCGTTTCGGCGTCGAGCGAGGGGATGCACGGGTCGGAGGTGGATAGACCGCCTACCAGAGCGTGAATTACCTACCCCGCTTTCGCTTCCAGGCAAAACCAAGTCATACCACGCGCCTCCTCGTCAAGCGGCCTGACCAGTACAGGCCGTAGTTTGGCATCGTTTGGTACCTTTTGGAAGCGAGGGTGGTCAAAAGCGAGGTAGGTTTGTTTTCCCCCTAGCCTTCCCTGACACGTCGATTGAAGAATTGGCCGTTTTGGGTTCGCGAGAGGGCGTCGCGGCCGTCAGTTTTGCGGGTCCAGGTCCGTCGGTTTCGGCCCCAGGCCGCTTTCACTAAGGGGAGGTTTACTAGAGGGAGGTTTGTCCACAGCCGAACGGGGGATGGACGTCCAGGCGATGGTGAGGGGGGACGGCAGCGAGGAGGAGCGGATCCGAATCCAGGAGTCCGCAGCCGCTCCGATGGGAGCGGGCGCATCGAAGGGCAGGTTGGCGTCCTGCGCGTGAGCCACAAGTCGGCGGCGAGCCAGGGGGGGAAGTGAGAAGGGGCGGGCCTTCTCAGCTGGCTCGGAGGTCCCCAGGCCTTCCGAGAAGTGTTCTGAGCCTTCCCCCAAGGCATGAGCGGCTTCTCAGAAGGCGCGGGGGCTTCTGAGAAGTCCCGCCGTCTTTTGAGAAGTCCTCACTTCCCCCCCTCGCTCGCCGCCGGGCGTCGGTGAAGGGTGATCGCCGGTCGACGCGGAGCTCGAGTTCCTCCGCGCCGACTTCGCCGGCGCTTCGCCGGCCTTGCCGAGGCATCGGCGGCGCATTCTTCCGATCTCATGTGCCCATCGGTCGTGGACAGTAATTGTCAGGAGGGGAACAAACACACAGACACAAGTAATCGTCGATTCCCAGGAAAATATGGAAAAATATGGGAAATGGAAAATATAGGAAAATATGGGGAATCCGATTATTTGTGTATATTTATTTGTGTGTCCCAGTTTCCCTTCAAATTAGGAATTGCTGGATGCCCAGGTCCCGATCTGCTTTAGGCGCATTCCTACTTCAATCATCGTGTGGTTTTCACTCTTCCCTCCTCTCCAGGGGGCGGGTGGGAACCCTATCCACTTTCAGCGCCTTCCTGTTTGATGCTTCCACCCACTTCTTCCGACCGACGGTTAAAGTTGTTGGGGTTTAGGCTCAGGGGGGACCGCATCTTGCAGCAGCGGGGTCCTGCCGTGCCAGGTTGCGGGGGAGGGGCAACGTTAGGAGGGGATCTGCTCAGGGCGGGAACGCTTCGGGCTTTCGAGGTTCGAGGTTTTCGGACGTTTTCGTGTATCTCCGCGGTTTTCCAGCCTCGGGGTGCCTTCCAGCACCTGCGCCTCGCCGAGAGCGTTCCGGAGGTGCCCGAATCGTCCCAAACGGCCGATGGAGACCCGAGTTACCGTGGTTTTCGAACAAAAACATTCTCCTCTCGAATGCGTGTTGGAGCGGGTCCAACCCCCTGACCCCAATTGCAAAGTTCGGGGCGGTCGATGCGGGGGAGTGCGAGTCGTTTCGAAACAAACGCCCACATTTGCAAACCGCGGCCTGCTCCCTTAGATGATCATTGCAATGGGGCGCGGGGGGTGCTCTTGCGCCATCTTCTAGGCGTTGGACTTGGGCGTTTTTTTTTCCCCCGAAAACGCCGGTATGACACAAGAAACCACCAGGAGATAGGGTAAGCGTTTTGACCCACCATTCGCCGGCCCATAGAGCGCCGATAGGGGCTTGATAGCCCGCCCCGCCCAGGAACGTGCAGGTTCGCCATCAGGGGCAGCCTAATCGACAGCTGCCAAACCGTCCCCTTCTCTGACGTCCCCATCGCCTCGCCCCAAGACGTATGTATGCGGCTGGAGGGAAGTTTGAAAGTCGAGGCTGACGTCACGGAAGGGGATGGTTTGCTAGGGGTCGGTTAGGTTGCGCCCGATGGCTATCGGGGGGGGCCTATCGCAGATCTCTCGCCGATTGCAGGTCCATGCTTCTCTCCCTGGGCCAGACCGCCTCTCACGATCCCCCCCCCTCTGTTTGGGGGCGGCTTCGAGGAATCGAAGAGTCGGCGACCACACGAGCATCACCCTGCGTGGGCCCGCGCGGACCGCGTGGATCGGCCTCCGCCAGGGTGTCCAGCGCCGATCCGAGAAATCCTCGAGAGCGTCCGAGGTGCTGCAGTCGGGGCGCTGAACAAGGAACCCTTTTCGTTGGGGAGGGGCTCCGTGTTCCTTAACTGTTTCGCAGGTTGCCTAAGGGTGTCCTTAAGTACTTGATGGGGAATCGAAGTTTAACTTGCGGGAAAAGGGGCCTCGTGCCTTCATTAGGGTTGGAAACCACGCACGACACCGAAAAAAACAGAGGGAATGGACGTCCGAATGATGGCCAGTAACCGACTTCCCAAGGGCTCCCTCGCATCCGTGCCTCTTCGGTCATCCTCCTCGGTCCATGTATGTTTGGTTGCCCAGATCTCGAGGTCCATCCTCAGCCACTGTCGATGGCCAGGCCTGCCGCGAGAGAAGCTCCGGCATGGGCGTCCAAGGCCCCTGTATTATTACCGGGCATCTTTATTGTCAGCAGTGTTGCCGATATGCTTACCCGTAGGTCGCTGGAAGCAGGTATATCTGGGTTTCCAGATGCGTGTTTGCTTGGGGCGCCTGCCTGCCTCAGTGATCGATGGGCTTCAACTCTTCCTTCATTCTTGGGGGGCGAGCGGAACCCAATCTACCTCCAACGCCTTCGTGCTTCATGTCAGGGCTGGCCCTAAACGCTGTGTCGCTGGACTTCGGCTGTGTTTTGTTTTTCGTTTTGGCGGGGAGGCACAGGAAAACAGGTGGAGCAAAACGCACAACAAAACTAAAACAAAGCGAACAACAACGTTTAGGTCCAGCCCTGCCTCATGCTTCTATCTACTTCGGCGAACTGTGCCACCTCTGGGCGGCCTTTTCTTCTCCTCCCCCCCGCGGCCGCCCGCCTGCCCTCTTTTCCACTCCTGCATGCTGGCCAATTCGCTTTTCGGCGCCCCCGTCTAGCTCTTTCGCTGGTGCAGCCACCTGTAAGTCGGGCGTGTCCCTCCACAGGGGAAATATTCAAAAATAGTCGCACAATAGTTAGGGGGCGATGTTTGGATTATTTCTGTTTGTGTTTGGATTCCGTTTTCGAATTCTTAATCTTCCCTCCAAAAATCCGACTTTGGAAGGACACGCCCGACCTAAAGCCAACATTGCCTCGCCGCCGAAGCACAAATGTTTCTACCTACTTCTTCGGACCGATGGGCACGGGGTCGTTTCTCCGGAGGGGGTTCTGGGGCGCAGGGGGCTGCCTTCACAGCAGGCAGGAGGGGGTTTTTCGGAAGGCACCCGCTCTATCTCTTGCTTGGCACCGCTCGGACGTGTGCCTTGCATTTCTCGCCGAGGACCCTCGAGGAGCATCCTAGATCGTCTTCCAGGGGAACGTAAGACTCGAGTGCGCCGGAACTCGGGTTCGCCCACGCTTTTTTACGAGCTCGTTCTGCATTTTGACGATCTGGTTTTCGTGGGAAGGTTTGCAGCGGGAGTCCGCGCCAAATTTCAGACTGGGTGGAGTAATTCCATGATGGCCCCGTCGGGCCAACCAAAGCTCCCCTAACCCGAGTCTTACGTCTCCCAAATCTTGCGAAGAAGCATGCGCGCACGAAATCGACCGATGCACGGGGTGGATCCAAGCGCTGTTTTGCTAGACTTCGGCTGCGTTTTGTTTTTCGTTTTGGCAGGGAGGTGCAGGAAAACAGGTACAGTGGGGCCCATGCCAAGAAACACCCTGCTTGCCTCCAGGGTGCCGTGGATTTCTTGGGGTTCGATGGTTCTGCCATGGAAATCGTGACGTCCCCAAACCAAAAATCGATGGACGTCCTGGGGTCTCAGGGTTGGGTTGCTTGTGGAAGGTTTCTTGTGGTCGGGCCCCTAATGTAATCAAAACGAAGGACAAAACGAAAACAAAACGAGAAACATAACGCTTTGGTCCAGCCCCGCGGGGAAGGGACGGAGGCTCGGAGGCCGTTTGTTTCGAGAGGGCTGTGCTCGGGAGGCAGGCCCTTAGAGGAGCAGGGAACGGCAGAAGTCAGGAGGGAAGAGGACACGCACACACACAGACACATTTGATCGTCGATTCCCCGAAACTATAGGAAACGATGGGAAGTGTGGGGGGGAAGACGAAGATCCAACACATATGTAACAATATTGTAAATCCTGGGGTTTGTGTGTATTTGTTCGTGTGTGTCCGGGTCCCTTCAATAAGCATGAGATGTTGGAGGTCCGTGCAGATTTCTTGGATCGGCACTGGGCATCCGACGCCTTCGGTCGCAAACCATGTGAGCCTGGTGCACCCTCTGACTTCCGTCTATCGCGTCGAGTAATTAGCGTCGATTAGCGTCTGGGGGTCGATGAGCTAGGGCCGGCTCAGCGTCGGCAAAGCGTCGATTTCGCGTCGATTCGCGTCGACCTGGCGTCGATCGGCGTCGACTCGCAAGAGCCGACAAGCTGGCATGGGAGGCTCCCACGAGTTGCCACCGACTGAGCACGAGCTGCTGGAGTAAAACGACGCGAAGATCGGGACAACATCGGATCGGGATAACTCGAATTCTCTGAGAATCGGCTGGTTTGGAGGATGTATTGGGCGCCACGGCCGCTCCAGAGCGTTCCGGAACGCTCTGAAAGCGCTCCGGAACGCTTTGGAGCGATTTATCCCGATCCTAGCCCTGTTTTAGTCTCCTGGGAGGACAGCCCCGACCGGCCTGAAGCATGCCCCCATCCTGTGATTGTCATCGCCGCATCGCGGTGCCTCAGCTTCCGAGGGCGCACCCGGAAGACTCTCATCGCCTTTGGGCTTGGCAATTCTCAGAGGAGCAAGTCGGACGAGGCTAGGACGAGGACAAGTCCGTTCCGGAGCATTCCGGAACGCTCTCAGAGCGCTCTGGAACGCTCTGGGAAGTCCGCGGCGCCCAAGACATCCTCCAGGGCCCCCAGAGCTCATAGGAAACGCCGAATAATAAGAAAACGCCCACTAGGTCATGAGAATGAATGATACGTTCCAAGATTTCCATGGCTTCCAGGATTCTCCCAGGCTTCCTGAGCGCTCCACAAGGGCTCCAGAAGCGAGGGCCGCTGGTCACCCCGTTTGGAAATGCTGCAGCGCCGCCTGCGTCATGCATGCGAGGCGGTCCACAATGGGCCTTGCTTTCGAGGATCGATCAGATGATCCTCCGATCGATCCATGTCCTCGAGGAAAAGGTGCCCATGCCGCTACCCGTCCCTCGAATTCGCCGTTTTCGGGCCTCCTGGGAGGCCCTCGTCGCCACCGCCAGATTCGCCTCAAAATTCTGGTCAGAACGCACCCCAGGAGAGATCCGGGGAGCAGCGGTATTGGTACCGTCTGGTTTCCCCAATCGAAGGAGTTGTCGTCTTTCTTCCTCGGCGGTACGCGGCGGAAGGGCGGCGGTAGTATCACAAGGCCGCCTCCGCCGGCGGAAGGCTGGCGAAGGGCGGCGGAGATGAGAAGTGCGCCCCCCCCCATCGGGGGTGGCCAAGAGAGGGGTGATGACTAGGGGGGGGGATATCATGGTGTGGGCATGGTTTTTCCTCGGATTTCATGGCGCGTCTTCTTATTTCATTACGTCCCTGGCTTCCCCTTGGGCCGCGCACGTGCCGCCGGCCATGATTTGCGCCCCCCACTCTTGGACGCCCCTCTCATGGATACAGTCGGGCCGCTGAAGAAGGAACCCTTTTCGTTGGGGAGGGGCTCAGTGCTCAGTGTTCCTCCAATTGTGTTACAGCTTGTCTCAGGTATTCCTTGGGTTCTCCGTGGGGGAGCGAAGCTTAACTCATGACAAGAAAAGGGGGTTCGTTCCTTGTGTAGCACTCCTCATGACAGCGTTTCGACTGCATCATGACATCATTCTCTGCATAAATCTTAGGGACCGGACAGAGCTCGAGATAAGCCGGGCTACAGATGGAAAATTCAAACATTGTCCAGCAATAGTCCGGGCCCGATTTTTTGGGGGGATCTCTTGAGGAGGACATGCCCGACCTGAGGCTCGAGGCTGGTCGAGCCCCCCTCGCCCTGCGCCCCCTCTGATGGTGCGCCCCCCCCGCCAAGGAGTGCCGGAGGGCCGGCGAGGAGGCGCAGGAGTGCCGGAGGGCCGAGCAGCGCGCCCTGGAGAAGGTCGGGAAGGGGCTGCGGGCGGGCGATGGCTGCGTCGTTGAGGATGCGGACGGGGACAGTGATGGGGATGGTGGTGGGGATGGGGATGGGGATTGGGATGATGGTGGTGGCGACGATGCTGATGGTGGTGATGATGAAGATGATGATGATGATGAAGATGAAGATGATGAAGATGAAGATGATGCTGGTGGTGGTGATGATGGTGGTGATGGCGGTGATGATGCTGATGGTGGTGATGATGACGATGATGAATATGAAGATGATGCTGGTGATGGTGATGATGGTGGTGATGGTGGTGATGATGATGATGGAAGTGATGATGAAGATGATGATGAATATGAAGATGATGCTGGTGATGGTGATGATGGTGGTGATGGTGGTGATGGTGATGATGGTGGTGATGAAGATGATGACGAATATGAAGTTGATGCTGGTGATGGTGATGATGGTGGTGATGGTGATGATGATGATGATGATGGTGGTGATGATGATGATAATGGTGGTGATGATGCTGATGATGATGGTGATAGTGATGATGATGGTGGTGGTGATGACGATGATGGTGGTGGTGACGCTGATGGTGATGGTGATTGTGATGGTGATGAGCTTGGCGAAGTTGTTGTTGTTGATGGTGATGTTGACGACGACGCTAATGATGATTATGATGATACTTGTGATGATGATGGTGATGGTGATGATGATGATGGTGGTGGTGACGATCGTGATGATGATGATGATGATGATGAACATGATAATGGTGGCGATGATGATGATGATGATGATGATGGTGATGGTGATGGGGATGGTGATGGTGATGATGGTGATGATGATGATGGTGGTGGTGATGCTGATGGTGATGATGATGGTGATTAGTTTTGTGAAGTTGTTGCCGTTGATGGTGATGATGATGACGTCGACGCTGATGATGATTTTGATGGTAATTGTGATGATGATGGTGATGGTGATGGTGATGATGACGATGATGATGGTGGTGATGATGATGGCGGCGACGATGACGATGACGACGATGCTAATAATGAGGGTGATGGCGATGGGAATGATGATGGTGACAGTGATGTTGATTGTGATGACGATGACGATAATGATGAGGAGGAGGATGAGGATGAGGATGAGGGTCGGATGAGTATTATGATGAGGATGATGATGATGATAGTGGTAATGATGGTGATGGTGATGTTGATGATGAGGAGGAGGATGACGAGGAGAAGGGTCGGATTAGGATGAGGATGATGAGGATGATGAGGATGATGAGAATGATGATGATGATGATGATGATGATGATGATGAGGATGATGATGATGATGATGATGATGATGATGATGATGAGGATGATGATAGTGGTGATGGTGAAGGTGATGGTGATGGTGATGATGGTGGTGGTGATGATGATGATTTTGATGCTGATGCTGATGCTGATGCTGATGATGATGATGATGATGATGATGATGATGATGATGATGATGATGATGATGATGATGCTGGTGGGCTGAGATATCGAAACAGAGGAGCACAAGGTACAGATTACTGCCACCTGCTACCCTGCCCTCGTTTTCGCATTTTTGGGCCTCCTGGGAGGCCCTCGTCGCCACGGCTGGATTCGCCTCGAACTTCGGGTCAGATCGCACTCTCGGCGAGACCCTGGGAGTTGCGGTTTCGGTATTTCCGGTTTCCCCATGGAGAACGCCTATGGCGAACCACCTTCTCACCTTCGTTGGGCCAAGGTGTTGGACTATGTGCTCCCCCAGCCGGTGTGGATTTTTTGGGGGCAACATTTCGGGGGAGGGCGAGAGGGATGAGGGGGAGGACTCTTGGGAGCCTCTCGGGGCCAGAAGGAACCCCTTTGCCTTCGGAGGCCGTCTTTGGGGCATCACTGGGCCAGCTTGCGGCTCTCTACCGCCGTCTTGGGGGTCTGTGGGGCCGTCTTCGGACCCTCGCATTTTATATCGAGGAGTGAGGACTCTCAAGGATGGACGACTTTCCACTCAGTCCTTCATGGTACTGTGGCGGGTTTAGGTTTAGTGGTTGTGATGTTTGGCGATCTTTGATGGAAGCTGACGACGGGTATGGCATTGACAATTGTAGTAATGAAGATGGTGATGATGGTATTGTAATGGTCACGGTGATGATGGTGGTGATGATGATGAACCAAACGGTGGTGATTAGGATGATGATGTTGACGATGGTGATGCCATGGTGATGCTATGGTGATGCTGACGGCGGTGATGCTGATGATTGTGGTGATGACCACGATGGCCATGATGACCATGACGACGACATCGATACCAAAGACGATGAGGACCAGGAGGATCCCAAGGTATCTCCTGAGGCTCCCAGAGGTCACAAAGAAGGACAGAGACTTTGAACAAACCTTGAATCTCGATCCTCGAATCGACGACGACGACGATCAATTCTTTTCAGAAGGTCTGGCGCATCGTGGTGTAGTTGGATGGCCACCCCATTTCCTAGCCCGTCTCCCCGCACCGTTCCTCGCCCCCCTTTGGCTCCCCCCCCTGCGTGCCCCCCCCCTGGTCCTCGCCCGCCTCGCTCGCCTTCTCGCTCTCCTCGCGCACCTCCTCGCCCTCCCCGGACCCCCGTCGCGCTGTGGAGAGATCACGACGGGTGGCCTTTCGCTGTCGTCGGCTTCTGGGGGCCCGCACCGTGCTCGGGGACGGTCAAGTCATTTTCTCAGGGCGAAGAGCCGGAGACCGGAGACCTCTAGGGAGGATGGGGGGAGGAGGGGGGACGGAGGAGGAGGAGGAAGAGGAGGAGGAGGAGGAGGCGGAGGAGGAGGAGGGGGAGGAGGAGGAGGAGGAGGAGGAGGAGGAGGAGGAGACAGGGAAGGGGTCCAGAGACCTCTAGGGGCCGACGTTGAAGAAATCACGACGTCGGGGGTGTGGGTCTTCCCCCCCCCAGACGTCCGATGTCCTGATTTTCCGAGCCGGTCCTCCGTTCCGAGTGGGTTCTTTCCTTGACGGCGGCGAGGACCCCCAGAGGGCGAAACCTGGCAGAAGCCTGCGACGTGGTTTTGTCGGCGATGCGGGCATGCTGGATGTTGGGCCACCCCCTCCTCGGCCTCCAGATGCCCACACAGGCCCGACGTTGCGAAAACATTGCAACGTCGCGACAAAGCACGACTGGAGCCCCAGGCAGAATCTGTCTGCGGGGCACTTTTCGAGCCGGATCGACCTTTGAGGGCCCTGGGGCCTGTAACCCAGCGGAAACGACGGGCGTGGAGAGTTGGAGGAGCCCAGATCCCAGGGACGTCTCAGATCCTCACACCCCAGCGATTGGGGCGTGAGGATCTGGGATCCCAGGGGGATCTGGGATCTGGACGTCCCTGGGAGCCGGGATCTGGACGTCCCTGGGATCCTGGATCTCCGGCGCAATGGTGTGTTTTCCATTTGGAGGCGTTTCCTCCAGCTTCTGCCCTCGGGGGCCGTCTTCGGGCCCTGGGGTCACAGCAATCCTGGACATTCGGGAGGTGATCGTTTTCGTATTCTTGTTTTGCCGATCGGCGCGGGCCCTCCTCGCAGCCTTACCGCCCACACGACTCTTACACGCATTCGCGCGCAGCCTTACTTACAGTTCGCAGCTGCTCCCGTACCCGAACTAGCTGCTGCATGGGTCCAAAGCGGGACGCTACCTCCTGCCAGTGGAACAACCACGCAACCAAAGTTCCTCACAGGTTGGGTCGCGCTTTGGGGGAGGGCTGGTCACCAGCGGCGCGGGCCCTCCTCGCAGCCCCCCTCCCCCCCCCACGTGGAGTGAATATTTGCTGTTTCTTGGCGTCTCTCGCCCCCTCTTTCGTCCGCGTCCTCCTGCTCCCGCTCTTGCATGGTGGCTCAATTTGCCCTCACGGCACTCGTTTAGGCCTTTCCGCTAGCGCAGACTTCCTTTGCCTCGCCGCCGACGCAAAAAGACAATGTTTCTTGGCGCCTGTTTCAAGCGGGTGGGGTCCCTCCCATGGGACGCACTGGTGCAAATTATCGCACCGAGCAGCTGTCCGGAGCCAGACCCTCCTCCCGTCCCCCCCCTTCCGCCCAATGTCGAAACGCCGAATTTGAAACGGTCACGAGGGACAAAACTACCCCCGTGGAAGCGGTCGGAAGAGCCAGATCGGCGGATGACAGGGATCTGAGCGTTGCCATTGTTTCATGCCTGGCGCTTTTGCCCAGAGTCGGGCCCCTGGACAATCACACATCGATCTGGCTGGAAACGTGCTGCAGAAACAGGTTTGGTCTGGGGCTCAAGTCGTGATTTGTCGCGATGCTGCATTTTGCTGCAACGTGGAATCTCAGAGTCGCCCCCCCCCGCCCCTTCCCCGATATCCACCGGTCACAGCACCGTGCAGCGCCACGGCCGCAGCCCGAGGCGCCTCCTGTCTCTCGGCATCGCTCGGACGTGCGCACTTCGATTCGGTTGCGAAGAAACACGCGCACGAAATCGAAACTGCTCTGGAGGGGCCCTGGAGGTGTTTCGCTCCGAACGGAGACGAAGTCGCCATTTCGGGCGAGATCCGCAAGCAAGCGTACATGGCGCCTGAGTTCAAAACGGAGCCCGCCCGCTGTGGTTATGAGCAGGTCTGGAAAAGGGGCGTTTCAGTTTCGCGATGATGAGGCTTCGGAGAAGGGGAGTGACTTCGCAGTCTGTAGAGTCCGCCCTTCGTCCACCTTTCGTCGCTTAGGAAACCGGGTCCGAAGAAAACAGGGCTGCTCGAAGCTGTGTGTACGGGCGCGGTTTGGACAAGACCCCGCATCCTGAGCTGCGGATGAGAGTGTGCGAGCCCCTGCCCGCGCTGCGGAGCTTGTGTGGAGGCGGGCGTTCGTCGGTTCGGGGAGTGTCCTTGCAGCGCTGAGCCCCAGGGCATGTCGGAGGCTTTCTCCAGGAAGAGGGCCTCGGCGTCCGCTGCATGCCCCGCCCAGTGGCTACGGGGCCTCGCTCTTGCTGCTTGGACCCCAGTCCCGCGTCCGCCTGGCATT